CCCTCACCCTCTGTGATAAATTATGACATAATCGAGTAACGTCACCTGTAGGTAACCTCCAAAATTAGATTGCGATGTGACCCTTCTTAATAGGTGGCAATAACTAACTAGAAGAATATTCTGGCACATGCTAAAATCAATACAATGTGAAAACCAATGGTGAAATCAGCCGCTAAAGTTAAGATATAACAGTCATAATTTCAATTACACACAACAGTATTCTGCACATATGTAGTGAGGCTCTTTTAAAACTGGTTAATTTTGACACCCAATATCAATATCCACTAAGGATGAGTGCTTAAACTGTGTTCTTTTAATTGTAAACACAACATTCAATGTTGTTTTCACAAGTGCAATATTTGGAAATTCTCCAAGGATAATCCCGTTTGCAAAAAGCCTCTGCATCTAAATCTGGAGGGTTCATATGTACAGCTAGTTTCTAGGTGAGGCTGGCAATAAACATCTGCAGATGTACAAAAGCAGAGTGGGATTATATCATTATTTGTGCTGATGGCAAAATTGGAAATAAGTTAAAATAATTTCATTACTATGAACCAAATAAGCATAATTATTGATATCCTCTTTTAAAAATGAGCTTTTAGTATTTAAGCACCTTGACTAAAGAGTAGGAAAGGACCCATGAATGTATCTAATCTAGTTCAACTTCCTTTCTAATTTCATTCTTGGGAATAAAATGAATACAGAACATCTATCTAATTTGGATTAATTTAGATGTTAACTTCAGTACATCAAAGCAAAATTAAGGAGTTTTACCTGTGCAGTTTGAAACTTCCCCCAAGTTTCACACAAAGACATTATACAGCATATAATAATGATTTACTAAATCACACAAACTGCCGAAAACAAGTGGAATAAACAACTGCCATTCATTATTCCTGAATCCTAAGACTGCTGAGTCTGTCTTGGACATACACACAGCTGAACACACACTTCCTGGTTATGTGCAATCTGCATAGATAGACCAGCTTTACAGGCCTGACCACAAGAGATTAATAGCTGTAGCCAAATAATGTGGTAACCATGTGAACCTGGGCTGCTTCAGCTTGTTTGTGAATCTCTCAGCAAGGCTCAACATGCCGTTATCTGCATCTTGTTGCCAGGAAACACATCGTTTTGGAATACAAGGAAAGCCAGGTTGCAATGATCATAGGTCAACTTCCCAAAAGCCAATTTTTGACACTTCATGATCTTCAATCTTAAAACATTTCTTCCTGTAATCCATGGAGAACTTCACTTTACTAGTAATTAAGAGTTACGTATTTTGCTGTTTTTATCAGGGCAGGACCAGATGCTAGCACCTATTACCATAAAAAATGTAGTAGAAGTAATTCTAATAATTCATTCATGTTTTTCCTATTCCAAGTTCAGATAAACGTTAGTTTACTTCATTACAACATCTGGAAATTAAGCACCCACTGCAACTTCTTTAAAATTGATCTAATGATGGAGGCTTATGGATTGATGTCTGTTCTTCAGCACAGTGATCTTACCAGAGCATTGTTGTTGTTAAGTGCCATGGAGTCGGTTCTGACTCACAGCGATTTGTACAGGGTTTCCAGGAACATCTAGTGAGTTTGAACTGACTATCTTGTGGTTCAAACTGACCCTGTGGTCCAGTGCTTTATCCTACAGCTCGACACCAGGACTCCTAATATGCTGCTCACCTAAGAGTCCCTGAATTTTCTGTGATCAAGTGCCTCTCTTGCCTAGCTCACATTTGTTACAGAATATAATGTGTTGACAATAATCTTACTAGTTTCTTCCTGACCAATTTAAACAGATAGAAACTTAATGTACCAAGAAGCTGAAGTACTCAACAGACTGGAAATTTGCTTCATAAGAGTGAAATGGGAGACCAGTGTTCTGCACAGTTTTGCAATTTGGAGAAAGAAGGATTTTGAGAATTTAAAAAATTAATTACCCTTGACATAGCAATTAGAAGTGCTAGCTAATGAGCAACAGAAGAGACACTGGACAATAATTCACTTAAGAGATTTTTAAAGATAAAATGGGAAGCATTTTCTCTCTTCCAATACAAATCAGGCTGTGAACCTTAAGGTCAGCAGTTCGAAACTACCAGCCAAGCTGCAGGATAAAGATGAGGCGTTCTGCTCCTGTAAACATTTACAGCCTTGGAAACCCTGTACAGGGTCGCTATGGACTGGAACCGACTTGACGGCACTTAACAACAACAATGCTGACTTAATGAGTTGGTTCTGAATCACAGCTACTCTGTAAAGGATTTCTAAGGCTATAAATGTTTACAGGAGCAGAAAGCCTCATCTTTCTCCCATGGAACCGTGGGTAAATTGGAACTGCTGACCTTGTGGTGAGCAGCCCAACTCATAAACCAGTATGTTACCAGGGCTCCTTAGGTTTACTATGTTGGTTCCGATTCATATCGACTCTGTAAGGGTTTCCAAGGAGCAGCTAGTGGGTTTGAACTGCTGACCTTGTGGTTTTGCAGTCCAGTGCTGATCCTACAGGAGTCCTAGAACTTAAGTTTTTGCTACTCGAGAAAAGTAGGATCTTCAATTCATTATACTATCAAGAAAACACATTTATAATCAGTTAGCTACATTCTTGATATGACCTTACTTTTTTCCACGGGATCTGTATAATTCCTTTGAACCTGGGTTTTATTCTGTTTTTTCATCATGTTCCACGCTTCCCTTTTTAGTCACAAGATGCAAAGTTCATGACAATTAACACTGCTAAAATGATACGCAGAGTCCCTGGGTGATGGTGCAAATGGTTAATATGTTTTTAGCTGCTAACCAAAAGGTTGGAGACAGCAACTGGATTTTTAAAGGCACACAAAAATTGGCAAATGCTTTGCTACATATTCCACACACACAAGATAGATTAGTGGAAAATCATGGAAAGCTGGACAAATTTGTGATAACATACATATAGCATAATGTTGTAGAACCTAACAGTGGATACATGGGTGCTCAATGTACAATTCAATGTATAATTCTTCCTATTTTTTACATAATGGAAATTTTTTTATTCCTGGAAAAACGGAATTAAAAGACAATGGAATTTTTTCATGAACTTTTTGACGCCTCCTAGTATACAACTAAAAATCACTTTCCCAATACTAAACTGAGCAAGAGGAGGTAAGAAGTTTCAAACCTACCAGCTGCTACACAGAAACCCTTTACAGGGTCACTATGAGTCATAACCAACTCAAAGCCACTTAGTAACTCATGGTCATACACAAACAGCTATTAACATCACACATTTTAACTGTTTTACGTTATACGAGGAACAACTGAGATATATAGACTATTGTTGCTATTAAGTGCCTTTGAGTCAGTTCTGACTCTTAGCAACCCTGTATAGGGTTTCTGAAGACACTGTGGTAGCATAGGGGTAACAAGTCAGGCTGCTAATCTCAAGGTCAGCAGTTCTAAACTACCAACTGTTCCATGGGAGAAAGATGAGGCTTTCTGCTGCCATAAAGATTACAGCCTCGGAAACCCTATGCAGGGTCGCTATGAGTCGAACCAACTCCACAGCACACCACCACCACCAGAGGGTTTCTGAGGGACAGATGGTGTGTTTGAATTGCTGACCTAGTGATTAGCAGTCCAGTGCTTATCCTACAGTGCCACACAAGGACTCCATACAAAGATTAATACTTGGTAGATAGCATTTTGCACTAGCACGAAAGGAGCCTAGTGATACAGTAATTCAGTGCTCAGTTGTTAACTGTTCAAATCCACAAGCCTCTCTGTGGGAAACAAATGTGGCAGTCTGTAAAGATTGTTGCTATTGTTGTTAAGTGCAGTCTAGTCGGTTCCTATCCATAGTGACTCTGTAAAGGGTTTCCAAGGAGTGGCTGGTGAGCTTGCTGTTCAAACCTATTTTGCAGTTCAGCACATTAACTTACCACTGTGCCACACCAAGGTTCCTGGTAAAGATTTCAGCCTTGGAAACCCTATGAGGCAGTTCTTCTACCCTGTTCTATAGCATTGCTGTGCATGGTAATCAACTTGACAGCAACGGGTTTGTGGTTTTGGTTTTTTGGAACCTTAAATGTTGTAGTTGTCTTATTTTTTTTTCTTTATTTGAATTTGAAGAATTTTTATTTCCTATTAGAAAATACTGATTAGACAGCTTCATGAAAAATGATTTATAGATATATGTCATGCATAAAAAATCATAATGATATGTACCTTTTAGGTAAGTGATACATACACCCATAAACTAACCTTTCCCTTTCACTAATTGTTGTAAGACTATTCCAGGTAAAAACCAAAAACCAAATTTCCACCCTGAACTGTGCAACCATTTACTGGTAAAATAAACAGATTAATAAGCTTAATGACAGTAAGCTTCAAGGAAATTAATAAGAGTTTTAATATGTTTGGGCACGACTCAGAAGTTTGGGAGAAACTTCTGAATTATCCATATAAACACTTTTTTTTTTTTTTTACTATTCAAATGAAAAGAAAGCTAAAAACAAAACCTCCAAATGATATTGCTTTCCATTAAAAAATAGCAACTACCCAATATGCAAACCTTTGATAATATACAACTTAGGTGGTTGTTACTGTTAAGTGCAGTCGAGTCAGTTCTGACTTATAGTGACCCTGTATAGGGTTACCGAGGAGCGCGGCTGGTGGGTTTGAACTGCTACACAAGGACTCCATAAATTAGCTATTTATTATTAAGGTTCTAATATGCTCCATGAATTTTCTTTCGTGAGCAAGTACTCTTGCATAATGTTTGATTCACAAGATTCAATTTATATGCAACTTTGTGTTCACACATATGTATACTGCAGAGTGTTGAACTGTTATAACAAGACCTTCACTGTTTGGGTAGGGAGAGTATTATGCCTAAAGAACAGTGGGCAAAAAAGGCTAAAATCTGTTACTTTTGAAAGAAACCACTCCAATAAGTGTCTAGCCTCTTTACCGTCTCAATAGCGTTTAATAAAAGTCTTATAAGTTGTTATAAATACATACCCATACTTCATCCTCATTCTATCGTTTTCCGGATTGCAATAAAATCTTTCCAAGTGCTCCTGGGAATCATTGGAAACACTCTGCCATTTTTGAGTAATTGTCCTCTTGATCTGCCAGTGATATGGCAATACTGTATGGTGTTTCAAACAATCCCTGCCATAAATACAAGTGCCTTGCAAAAAGTCCATGCAAATTTCAATTCCATTTTCTTGATGAGTGTGGTACTGCAACTGGTTCACAAGCTCAAACACGAGGTCAAGGGAAGCCTCTTCACTTTTGTCCTGGAAGAGTTCAGTATTCAGTTTATCACTGGTGTCCAAAATGTACTGGATTGTAAAACTGTTGTCTTGGAAAATCCCGGGAACATAATCCATGACTTTGTCTATGCAGTCAGGACTAGCAGGAACATCACTTGAAACAGGGTGCAACAGATCAGCTTGGAAGTGTCCTGCAGTAGAATCTGTCACTGGCCCACTGATGGTTTCTGGTGGAAAACTGTGATCCTGGATTGGAACCACTTGTTCTGGAGCATCAGTGGGAGGATGAGCTTCTGGTATTTGCCTCCTAACATTTGTCCCATCAGGAATCAGGACAGACATACTGTTTTCTGCTGGGGGACACGGTGTACTCATTTCTAGGGGCTTTTTCACAATAGAGTCGTGTAAGCTGCTCTCATCTGCACTCTGGTTTCTAGGTCTAAAAACTTCATCCAACGATCCAGATTCTAACAAAGTATTTAATATTGGCCTCAAAGACCGTAGAGTTCCAGTTCCCAATCTTTTCTGATCTGGTTTTTTCTTGAAACAAGTCTTCAAGGGAGTGATCTTCTCAGAGAGTCTCATTTGGCATGAAAAATCATCAGTAGGAGAGGGAGGCTGTACTACACAGTCTGGCTCAGATTCAATGGTTTCCACTTCCATGATGGGTATTAGCTCCAACTGCTCTGCTTGCTCCTCAAAGTCAAAAATTCCTAACAGGGAAGGAAGAAAGATGAGTATTTACTAACTAATAACTAGACCTCATTAATTTATCAAAATGTTTTGTTTTGGTCTATGACTGAGTCCCTGACATCATGCCTCTTACACTACAGTCTTTACTGAACAGTTTTCAATGATATTGAGAAATCAGGGTCCCAAAGCATCCTAAGTGATTTAAAAGCTCACAGCAGATAAAGGTGAAAGAAAAATGGTGTTATCCAACAGACCCCTGGCAGTTATTTGTAGACATAATATAAAACAATTCGTAATTCTGCTGGGGTATGGACTTTATTGTTAAGGCTGGGGCAAGGCAGGACAAGAATAGGTATAGAAATAAATGTGCCTAGCTGATGACAGTGGGTAAATCACATCTCCACTCAGTTTTGCCATTCTTTTCATTGTCTCATGAGGTGACAGTGAGTGAATCTGGTGTATTTATACAGGAAACAGGCTCTCAACTGAACTATCATATGATAGAAAACTAGAGCCTGTAGAAAGAAGCATTTTCAGATTCAGAAGATTCCAGTATGTTCCCCAAGAATGTAACCCCCAAAACAGTACCACAATCAGGGCCTGTTAACAACACAAGTCACAGCAACAGCACACTGTTAGAAGCCAAAGAAAATTTCTTAATACAGAAAAGGCCTCATTAAAATTACATATATATACATTAAAAAGACCTGTGAATGCAAATGAAAAAGAAACACACCAAAACAGAACATGAAGAATATGAAGCACATATTCTTTCAGATTCTTAATAAACTATTGGAAGAGATTTCTAAAAACATGCTTTAAGGGACATTTCAGACCCCTCTTTTTTAAACAACTGGAACTTCAGTAAAAAGCAAAGGAAGCTTTACAAATAAAATACAGTGTGTCTCCTCCACCATCTAGCATCCATTCATTAGTTCTGAAAATACTTTGTGGACAAGAGAGAACAAGGGTGATGCCATGCATTTATAATTCTCTTCTCTTGTCCAATAGCCTGAAAGAGCTATTTGATGTAAAGACCTATGGTTTATACAAATCCACCTCCCAGGAGCCAGTACAGTGTATAGTGCTCATACTGAGTGCTCAATAAATACTGATGGACTCCAAAAAAAAAACAAAAACTAGTGGTTGGAAGAAGCATTGTTGTTATTAACAGCCATTGAGTAGGTTCCAACCTTGTACAGTTTCCAAAGAGCGGCTGGTGGGTTCGAACCACCAATCTTGTGGTTAACAATCTACTGCTTAACCAACCACCCCACACCACTAAACATGTATTAAATGACTAATTCTCTGTTACACTTTATAGGTTAACTGTAACAACCAAAAAGATAAAATAGTGCCCCCCCAATTTAATTGAGAAGATCACAAAATCTACATGTGTAATATGGAAAGTGCTTAATGATCAAACTGAGAAAAAATACATAAAAAGGGCAGTATATGTGTTGATGTACATTACATGACAAATGCAAAAGGAAAAGGTGAAAAAGGAGAGTTCCGTGTGAGCTGGCATTGTTAGGGAAAGCTTCATGAAGGAGGGACTTGACATGAGACATAAATCAACTGGAAGGCAGCCAACCCAGGCGTTATTATTCATCACTTGGTGCTCTTGCCTCAAGGCACAATTGGCACAGATTGTGGTATTCCCTTCTCCACCATAGCAAACCAGCCTGTGCCTTTCCCCACGCACACACACACTAACCACTCCTATCACACCCAATCAAAGCTAAACAGACACAAAATCAATTTCATGTATGCGTGTGCGTACGTGCGTGCGTGCGTGCGTGTGTGTGTGTGTGTGTGTACGCGTGCGCGTGTAAAACAAGTCTTCCTATCACTCTCGGAAACAAAACTGAGGAGGAAGAGACAGAAAACTGGGGGGGAGGGGGGAGTGGTTGTAGTGAGGAAGCCACTTGAACCTAGTTCCTCAGTACAGTTTGCATAACAGGAAAATAAAGACTGGAGGCACACTTCCTCCGCTGCAGAGACCCTCTGCGCCACCCTCACCCCGCGACGCCCCTGTCCCGTCCCGTCCCCCCCCCCACACACACCCCGGCACTTTCCTGGGAGTCGCCCGCCTCATTCTCTCCCGGGGCCGGGCGACGTCTCCTGTCGACCCCGGCGGTTTGCGCTCGGCCGCGCCACCTCGACGGAGCCAGGCGGAGGCGCCGCCCGGACCAGCCCATCCCCGGGGCTCAGAGCATCCCCACCCCCGCCTTCCATTCGGCGGACGCCCCTCGAACCCTCGGTCCCGCCAGCCTCCAACGAACGACCCCGTGACCTAGGTTTCCCTCCATCCTGTCAGACCAGGCGCCTCGGCATTCGACCTTCCTGAGAAACGTCCTGCACAGCTTCAGAGGCTCGCAGAACTGAGCCGCGAAGCTCCGGGGAGACGCGGTGGGCGCTGCTTCGGGTGGTGAGGAAGGAGGAGACTTCTAAGCCCTTCAAAGTTCCTCGGAAAACAGCCTGCAAACTTCTGGGCTGCAGCCCGGAACGCCGGGTCTCCGGAAGCCTCCCCTGCAGGCACCGTGCCCTCCCCTCAACCGGCGAAGCGCACCCCCGCGCCTCAATGCGCCCGGGGGGTCTGCGCTCCGGGAGTGGCCGCATAGACGCGGCCCCGTGCCCGCCCAGAGGGAAGGGATCGGCAGCTGCCGGCGACTCTGACTAAATCTCTTCACTTATTCATCTGATGTATACACCTGCCAGCAGCACTAAGTGAGGAGGAAGTGTAAAACAAGCCCATTCTAATATTGATGGGAGCCGAGTGAATTCGGTACACAAAAGCACACAGCAAAAATCAATCGCCCTGGATCCCTCAGAGCCGGACACACTCCGGCGCGGGAGACTAGGAGTGCGGGGACCGCGAGCCCGACGCCCCCTCTTCGCTTCCATCCCGGCTGGGGACCCTCGTCGCCCCTCAGTGTCCTCGCCGAGTCCTTTACCTGAACTGGCAGTCTGAGAGAACGGACCACAGGAGTCGCGGCGCCGTTGGCTCGCGGGCAGCGTCCACGCCGGAGGTCGGCACCGAGGACAAGCGCCAGGGTCTAGGGATCGCAGCCCGGCGACGCTGCGAGCAGCGCACGGGCCATTTCGCGGCTGCGAGCGCAGGAAGCTCCGAGCATAGGAAGCCGCAAGCGCGCTCCCAGTCCTACTAGCTTGCTGTCACCTCGAGCTCTGCTTTAAAGTGGCTTCCGGTTGCCTCCTCCCGATTACCCGGTCGCGGAGGCGGGTCCTGGGCGGCGGAGGGTGGGGCTATCTGAGGGGGCCGAACGCTCAGTGGGTGCCGGAAAGAAGACCCGCCCCCCACGCGCGCGCCTGCGCTCTGACGCGCTTGGCTCGGAGGCGCGCGGGCAGAGCGTGCGCTTGTGGAGCGTTCCCGCGAGGGGGCGTGTCCTTCCGCGGGCCGGCTGCGTCCCTGAGGGTCCGCGTCTACGCGCTTTGGGGAGCGCGCCTGTGTGAAGAGAAGGGCGCGAGACGTGGGGCGGGCTCCACCTACCTGCCGACAGATGGAGGGTCACTTTGTTCCGAGAAGACCTAGGCACCCAAAGGACGAGATGAAACAGGTCGACGCGTTTCGATGCGGTTGGCTTGTTTATTTGCCTCCTAACACGCCTCCAGTTCCTGGTGACACTGGACCCCGAGAGGAAGGAAACGACTGCTGCTGCTGCTGCCGCTGCCACCAGACGGGGTCGCCCGCCCCTCGCTGGACGGGCCGGACAGGCTGCGCACTGTGCTGGCTGCCTCCCCAACCCGGTTGCTGGCATTCCTGTTTCACAAGAAATGTACTCTGCTTTGCAAAAGGGAAATTTAACTTTGAGGTTTTGACATTAGAAGCGCGTAGATGTGTGTATTAAAGCTTGCTAACACTGTAGTGGTTTCTTTATTCAACGAATAATTTTTGAGTGTCAAATATGTGCTAGACAAGTACTTGACTTGAGGCTATACGCTTGTTGTTAAGTGCCATCAAGTCAGTTCTGACCCATAGCGACCCTGTATAGGGTTTCCGAGGAGTGACTGGTGAGCTTGAACCACCGACCTTGTAGTTCAAACGACTTTGCAGTCCAGCACATTAACCCACAGCGCCACACCAGGACTCCTTGTAGTCACCTCTAAAATGTACATCACTTGTGGAATTGCCTTCTCTTCCTGGATTTTAAATTTCCTTGGCCCATATGTTAAATAAACTACTCATGGTGACCATGTTTGTCTAGGATAAGCAGAAGTGAGGGGGAAAACAGCAATGAAGCTGGGAGCTAAGTCCTACAACATTCAATAGGCTCCTGTGAACCCAAGTGGAGACCCGGTTGACCAGCAGTGTGGCAAGACCTGGGGATTCCTGGGCCCAGAGTCAGTGACATAGCTACAGAGGACTAGAGTGGAAAGTGAAGCGTCAGGCTGATAATAAGAAGAGGGTATATGCACAAGAACACCCACACTTGCAGATAATACCCACTTGACCTGGCTTCAATGACCGTATGATCAGAGCTCAACTAGAAGAAAGAAGAAGGAAAAAAGAGTAATCTCATACAATTTGATGAACCTGATCTACACCTATGGATACAGTAGCTCAAAAGAGGGAAAAAAATCTTTACAGTGAGGATCATTCCCACCCCCTCCATACACAGAGTAGACAGGGATGGGCAACTTGGACATTGGTTACCCAAAATGGGGGGGGAGGGGGCGGGGATGGGCTACAAATGCAAGAAGTTACTGTCGGACCCTAGATCCAGAGGGCGCAGAGGAAGGTAGAATCTCCACTGAGTAGTATCCAATCAGTCTGGGCGGGGATGATGAAAGGAGATGCAGATAGGTCTCTTGTGATACAATAGTAAATAATTGTTATCAGGACTGATTGTGAGGGTTGGAAATGTAAAGGTAGACATTTTGTAGCAAAAGAAGAGGAGTGATTGACTTTGCAGTCTAGGATTGGAGGTCCCAGGGATCAAGGGAAAAGAGCCAAGAGTGGGACCCTACCCAGAGAAGCAGTGATGCCAGAGATGAAGGCAGAGACGATGACATGCAGAGATGGAGCGGCTGGGGACTTTAGACCCAGAGAGGGAGAGGGGCTGTGTGCTGACGACTTTGCAGGGTATGCCCTTTGGTTGGTTGATGATGCATGGAGGGGATTGTAACCATGGCAGTGAAACAATATACAATAGGATGAATGTAAAGCTAATGTTCTCCCATATAAACTATCACATAATTCACAATAAAACATTTAATAAATAAATAAATAAAAACTACTCAGTGGTAGGAGAAAGATCCATGTAACATTAAATTCATGTAACAAAAACAAATATCTATGGATAATATAAAAAAGGTTTTGGTCAGAATCAAAGAAAATTAATTGTGTCTCTCAAACTTATGAATGATAAACAAAAACATTTTGAAAGGAGGCATGTTCCATAGATAATCAAGAATTGCTCACTGGATAGGAAACTGAGGAAATCTTGAAAGAATGAAAGCAGATAGATCCAAATGAAGATACAAATGATAGAGCTGGATAAGCTTGAGTTCCCCAACCCTCTCCAAAAAAGATTGCAATCATGAACAGTGGAAGCTACAGCCAGAGGAAGGAACCCATGAGCATCCAATGGGGTTTGAGAGAGTCTTTAGACCATTGCACATCTACACAACTCCAAGAAGGACTCATAATGACCCTATGTACAACAGAAGGAAACACTGACTGATCCTGGGCCAACCTCACAATTGTTGCCACACTTGAACCCATTGATGCTGCCACTTTGCTAACTCATCTTGCTGGGGGGTCTTCCTCTTTTTCTCTGACCCACCAGCTTACTAAACATGACAATATAGCCTAAGTATGAGAGGAAGTTTAGCCATCCTGGCCACCAAGGAGCACTCTGGCTGCACTTCTTCCAACACAGATCTGCTGGTTCCTTTGGCAGCCCATGGCACTTTCAATATTCTCCAACATTATAACTCAAAAGCCATCAATTCTTCTACGGTCTTCCTTCTTCACTGTCCAGCTTTCACATGCATATGAGGTTATTGAAAATACCGTGGCTTGGGTCAGGTTCACCTTAGTCCTCAAGCTGACATCTTTGCTCTTCAACACTTTAAAAAGGTCTTGTGGATGGAAGAACAAGGCGGATGGGAAAACAATTAGGCAGGTTTGCATGGGCTAAGTGGGACTGAGGTAAATAACAATGTATGCACAACTTTGGAACAACAGGTCTCTGGGATACAGGGATTTTGAATTGGCAAGGGCAAAAGGGGGGAAATGATGTTACGATGCTTGGCTGTCTTTTGAATCTTGGTTTCCCTGGCATGCCATTATAAAATAGACACTTGAAGGGGAGAGAAAGGAGTAGCCAGAAATATCACCATAGAGAGCATGTAAGTCTGTCTTCTACCTATAACTGATTGGAATACCTAAAATGGGACTACAACATGCCCAGTGAAGGAGGCTTCCTGCAACGCCTCTGCATTACATAAGACCATAGGTGGAATCTTGAACTCCATCCAGAATCTTCTGAGGTGGGAAATTTCCACTTGAGAGGACAAGCAGACCAGCCTGGAGCGGCTAGAAGAACAGAAGATAATTCTTGAAAGAAAGACCAACAGGAAAAATACAAAACAATAACGGCAGTCTGATTGACTACTATAAAAACAAGCAAGTTGCTCACCCAGAAGATATCAAGGCAAGTGATCGGGTCCCCTGAGGACAAATCCCCTTCCAAGACTGAGACTCAATGGTAATGCATGAGCAGACTTGTGATCTGACTAGTGACCACACTGGTCACCAATAAGGGTAAGTGAGGGAAAAACAGCAATGAAGCTGAGAGCTAAGTCCAACCATGTTCAAAACACTCCTGTGAACCTGGGTGGAGACCTGGTTGGCCAGCAGTTTGGCAAGACCTGGGGACTCCTGGGTGCAGAGTCAGTGACATAGCCACAGAGGACTATAGTGGAGAATGAAGTGTCCAGCTGACAAGAAGAGAGGGCATATGCACAAGAACACCCACACTTAAAGATAATACCCACTTGACATGGTTTCAATGACTGGATGATCAGAGCTCAACTAGAAGAAGAAGAGGAAAAAAAGAGTAATCTGATAACAATTTGATGAACTTGACATATACCTATGAATGCAGTAGCTCAAAACAAGGAACAAATCTTTACAGTGAGGATCATTCCCACCCCCTCCATACATAGAGTAGACAGGGATGAGCAACTTGGACATTGGCTACCCAAAATGGAGGGTGGGGGGAGGGAGCTACAAAGGCAGGAAGTGACTGGCTTACAAGCTTTCAAGAGGGGG